CAATTTCACAAGAAGAATTATGTTAAATACTCAAGATGCTTCCCAATAACAAGGCTTCAAGCAAATCTCAAATTAGCTATAAGATGTTAAAGAGATTAAGCTAGGATAGAAAAGAATACTTGAGAAAAATACTTAACAACTTTTTGAAATGCAAAGTTACTTCTATATTCTGAAGGCAAAGCCATATATATTCCATAGCCAAGCCAAAGCCCTGGGATTGTGAACTTTTAAATATGAGACCTATTGTGTTATTGAAGGCTACTAGAAAGTGTTTCACCAAAGTTTTAACCAACAGAATAGGAAATATTTATAAGATCAATAATATCCTCAGAGAATTCAACTATGCAAGATTATCAAGAGAAAGTATAGCAAAACCAATCCAAATTCTAAATAACATTTGCAAAAATAGAAGAGAGAACAAAAAAGAGCTGTGGATATTATTTCAAGACACAACCAAAGCTTATGATACTATTAGTCTAGATATGTTAATAAAAGTGATGGAAAGAATCAAGGTACTGAAAGGTTTTATTAAGATCATGATAAGCTTTTTTAAAAACAAAGAATTCAAAGTTATATTTAAAGATAATCTTACCAATCCTATAAAAGCAGGAAATAGAATTGATCTAGGAGAGACCATTTTACCATTAATATGGAGAATCTTCTATGATCCTTTACTATACAAAATCCAAAATGACAGAAATAGAGGATATAAAATATCAGTTACTTGAAATCCAGACTTTAACAGTCACAAAGTTGAAAAGTTAGAATTAAGACATGTTACGATAGCCTTTATGGATGATATAACATAGATAGCAAGATCTAAGGAAGATATAGAAAAGATCTTGAAGACAACAAGAATCTTCTATAGGGCCAATAACTCTCAAATCAATAGTAACAAATCAGTTTTAGTTACTACTAACAATTCTAACTATTATTCAAAAGAAGTCTAGATAGGCATTAAAAAAGAAGTAGTCAAAAAGCTTAACAGAGCAGATTAAGTAAGATTTCTAGAAATTTGGATGGACAATTAAAAGACCTTGATTAAACTAAAAGAAAAAGTGCTCAAGAAATTCATGTAATTGCTAGAACTCTCAAAAATAAAAAGGTGATGAATAAGCAGACACTCTATATTTTAAATAGAATATTAATACTAAGGATAGAATTTAGAATATATTATAGCATATTGTCCTGGAAAATATGTAATATATTAACAGCAGCATATAGAAAGCTCTTCAAATACAAAAGTTTATTATACAGATCTACTCCCAACAGTATGATACATTACCCAAAGATCCATAATTTGAAGAACATTTGGATGTCACAAAAAAAAAGTCAGATAATAGGATTATACAATAGATGAAATAATCTTGGACAAGTAGAAATTATAACAATCATAAGGCTCAACCAAGCACAAATCAAATATTGGGAACCATTCAACCTACTGACTTGTGACTCACTAGATCATTTTATAGATAAAGACAATTTTTCACATCAAGTAATTAAGTTAGCTAGAGATATGGGAATTATTTTTCAAAGTTGGAAATGATATGATATCTTTGAATGAGAAAAAAGAAATAGTCTGATCTGAGAATATCTCTCACCCAAGGAGTATAATAAAGCCATATTATCATTAAGAAACAATAAGTTGATGTATATAGATCAGCTTATTGACTATGAAGTAAATAAAATAAGAAATTGGAATATGTTCCAACTTATTCAAAAAATTGATAAAGGTTCTATTCCAGAATGGGTCTTAAATATAAGCAGAATGTTTAATAAAGATTGTTTAAATCAACTTATAGAGTTGTGAAAAATAGATTGGCTAAAATAGAAACCAACATATTCTATAATTAGCCCTAACCATAACAAGAAACAAAAAATATGGATATTAAAAAGAATATTAATCATCAACTAATATAAGGAAAGCTACTACAAGAAGAATCTAAAAGAAAAGCAAAAATTGAATACTACAAGTGCCAGAATAGTGAAAATAATTAAGAAACAAAGCTAATAAATGCATGGGTTGCTTAGAAGGTATTATTCAAGAACAAAGTTGTATTATGAAGGAAGATATGAAAGAGATATATATAATATTATATCTTAATACAAGAAAAAGTATTAGAAAAACCCAGATACTAACAATTCCATGTCCCACAATATCTTTGGAAAGAGCAATAAGAAAAACAATAGATGGTAATTAAGTATTTATACAGAGTTTGCAGAGATCATTTTAGTAGTTTACTTTCCAAGATACTATAATGGATTATGTAAATATAGAAAGTTGAAAAAAATAATTATTAAAGAAAATATTAAGAAGAAATATATAAAGATCACCTAATAGAGATACAGTATTTCAGTATAATCTAGGATTCAAACAAAATTTAACCTTCTATTCAGATGAATCACTAATAAATTATGGTAATGATAATATAAAAATGGGAGCAGCATGAATTCAAATAAGTGATACAGGAAAAGAAAGCAAATTTCAAATAGGGATAGACAGTTGGCCATCATCCACACATACAAAACTAATAGCAATAGTCATAATACTCCTAGTAGTTCCAGTAGGTAACTCAATTGAAATTTCTACAGATAGTCAAGTCTGCATCTTTTTTTTTTTTTATTTTATTTTATTTTATTTTATTTATTTTATTTTATTTTATTTTTTTATTTTATTTTATTTTTTTATTTTATTTTTTTTTATTTTTTATTTTTTATTTTTTTTTATTTTATTTTTTATTTTTTTTTTTAACCCACAGTCAAGTCAGCATGGCATGTCTTTATTGCATATATACTAGGTATTTATAAATTATTGTGACTTTCACATACTAACTCACTCGTCGTCAAAAAGCTATTTCTCTAAATGCAACCTAGAAAATGATATTTTACTCCTTTACTAATTTAAATAATTCCTTTAATTAATAAAATTATTGCTTACAGATTATTACTATAGAAAATAGTCAAGCCTGTATTTCAAAATGGAAAATAGTTAAGAAAGATAATTCAAAAAGAATATATAAAAGATGGTTAAAGAATAAAAACTGGTCATTATGGATACGAATAGTAGAGTTGGTCAAGAAAAAAGATCTATATTTAAAATTTATTAAGATCAAGGCACATTCTCAAGATCCCATAATAATGAAGCAGATGCTCTAGTCAAAAATGCTCTTAAACTTCTAGTAATAGAATAAAAAAATCTCACCTCATACAAAATTTCTATAGAAATCAAGTGATAGAATAAAACTTTAGATAATTCTATAAGACAATTCATTAAGAAAATGAATAATAAGACTATAGTATATCAGTAGACATTACAAAGCAGAATGGAAAGAAAATAGAGTCACTAAATTTAAGAACAATAAAACCATATATGGGATTTAGTATAGGAGAGAATAAATAGTTATATGTGGAATACATCATTTAAAGATTGTCAAAGAAAAAGCTTCTGATCAAGCTAACAAATGACAAGTTATTAACATTGAGTAAACTAATAATAAGAAGGCCAGACTTATACAAGCAAGTAAAATATATTGCATGTGATCTTCAAGAAGAAGAAACAATTAATTACTTGCTAGAATGTTCAGCATATAAGGAACAAATAAAGAAGATATAGAATAAAGATCTTGAAGGAGTTCTAATGAATTTCAGAAAACTTTCATAGGAAAGAAAAAAGGAAGTAAAAGAGAAGAATACTAAATTAATAGTGGATGACAATAAAGAAATGAGTGAAGTAAGCAAGTGGACATCTAGGCTAGTAGAACAGTTCTCAACAACTAGTTAGAATATACTAAGTTTCTTTGTAAGATTAATAAGAAGCAAACTTATTTTCAAAATGATAGATTTAAATACTATGGTAGAATAATTAGAAAAGAAGCAAGAAAATAAATTAAGAAACTACAAAGTATGACTTGTAACCAGTTTCAAAAAAAGATTTGAAATGCAAGATATGAAAGAATGATAGAATGGGAAAAATTGCAAGGAATTCAAAAGAAGGATAAAATAAAAAGATCTCTAATTTTTCAGGTGCCAAAACTATATGACTGAAAAGAAAAACTCTGATATTGAAGAAAGAAAGATTAAAAAATAAAGACTTAAAAAATATCTTATTAAGAGAGATAAATTTGGGATAAGATGATTGGATTTTGTGTAATGTCAGAATTTAAAGAGTGATTTATAGTAATAACCTGTAGGTAATAATATTAAGAGTTGGAAGGGTTTTCACTTGAACTTCTAATAGAGTGATAAATTATTCCTAAAGTTGTATTTAGAGTAGTAATTATAAAGACAAATGAGTTAGTTAGTATTTTTTAGATTTAGTGATTTATATTATATGTATAGTTTACAAATATTTAATAACTAGCCTGACAGAGGATTAAAAAAAAAAAATAGATTAAAAAAAAATTTTTTTAAGATTATATGATCCAATGATAAATTAAAAATACAACTTTTTTTTTTTTAATTTATACATTTATAAATTAAACAATGTTTATATAATTGTTACACAAAATCTGAATGGCAAATCATGCATTGAAGACATGTGGATGTGTTAATCCGTATCACGTGAATGAATTTCCGTAGTGTGCGGTTGGTTACATGGAATGCCACAGTATTACAAACATAAATTATTATGGCTTTAATCGACGCCTCAAACGGCAAAAAAAAAAATGGTACATTCACTCCGGTAGATCATATTTAAGATACTACGCACAATGATCTCGAGAAGTCACAATAATGTCGTCAACTTTTGTTACTTATAATGAACCTGTTTTGAGTTAGGACGGTGATATTAGCAATTACAACAATAGTTGAATGGACTTCGCGACGATCAAGCATTATCCACGCAAGAATTTTTTCTGTCTTGTTTAATGACAGAACCGGGTTATACCGGAGCGCATTTTTTTTTTTTTTCCATAATATGATGGCACAGAACACCACAATAATAGTTCAAATATATTAAATATTTACCAAAAAGATCATTTCACGTAATTTTTACTTCACAGATCATATCGAAAAATGTAGCTGATGCTGCACAGCAAAATGAGATGAAGCGCAGAGAACTCATTGGTCAGGTCAGTCAAGTAGCATTAAAAATAGTGCGGCAATATATCTCAAACTTTTTTTTTTTTTTTTTTTTTGCCACGTACCACGTATTCTATCACTGATTCTACATAGTATCATATCGATTATATACCTAAAGGGGTGCATCCAAAAAAAAAAACGATTTTTTTGCGTAAGCAGTTAGTATAAACGGGTGTAGTTGGCTGAGGCAAACAACTTTTTTTCTTGCATACGGTTGCACTGGAGAGGGGTTTTGCTATCTCGCTAACGACCTTGCAGAAAATTTTTTCGGCAAACACAAATATTGTTTACGTGGAACGAACGTTTTGTTCTTTCTTTAATATTTGTTCGTAAGAGCTGCCGAGTAGTTCACTCAAAAAGCGTTTAATACTTTCTGAGGCTTTCGTTCCTCTTCATTCTGTGTCCGTTCCTCTTGATCCAAACATAACTCTTGCAGTTCTTGGAGTGCTTTGAGAGTTTAAATATCATGGTCAGTCCAACCACTGCACAGCCAGATAGCAATCTCGCTGGTTCCACTGTTAGCAATGTGAATCTGATCAAGCCTACTAGTGCAAAATTAAAAACTGTCGAGACAGAAGTTAACGGGTCGAATACCATTCGATCACCCGTTCCCGAGCCACTGAAAGAGTCAACGAGCAATTACGAGGAAAATGAAAAAGCTTCCCAAGAAAACGAGCCAACAAGAAAAATCATACCTCCTGCACCTATACCAGCAGTTAATGTTTGGCAAGTAAGAAAGGAGGCCATGAATGCCAGAAAGGTGACAGAAGTTGTTAACCTTAATGATAAGGAAAAAGAAGTCGTAGGTGATATCAAGAAAATCGAAGCACGGGAAATTGATCAACAGGAACACACGAATGGTATGTTTGATTTTGTTTTCAGCATTTCACTCGGTGCTTTTTTTTTTCCACACATATATATATATATATCAAAATCTACCATTACGAAATTTTATTTCAACATGGTTCTTAAAGTCATCAGTATTTGTCAATATACATAATCATTCACCGAATGAAATAAATATCATTCCTGCGTTCGCACAGGGAAGGATTATCATCTTTGCTAATGTTAGAAACTTCAACAACTATCTGCCGGCCGAAATTAGCCCACATTTTGGTTAATAAAGGCCATCCCGGTTATTTCCTTGGCGTTTGTATGTGGACCATTATAATAATTTTATTAAAATTCGAAATTTTACCTTTCTTTATATCCTTCATACATTACAGATGTTAAACGAGCATCTAAGAAAGAATCAAAGAAATCAAAACCCCCACCGATATTACCGCCGCTAGAAGATCAAAGTAGCTGGCCTGCTCCGGCTGAAGCTTTGACTAAGGATAAAGGAAAAGAACCTGTAGACCCCATTGAAAAAAAGTCGTCCAATGATAACGGCATTAAAAAAGATGAAAGCCCTAAGAGAGGTATGAATTTTCGCCTACCTGCCAAAGGTTTGACGCACCTAACCGTGATATTCTTTTTAAGGCAAGGGTAAATGGATCCCATATCCGATCGTTACACAAAATACGCCGTCATCTAATCACGATAGGGCAAAACCTCGACGCCGTAGTGAGGATCATGTTGGATTACGTGAACGTGGGCCGAGTGAAAAAGTTCATAACACGGAACCAGAGGCTCAAACCGTAACTAATAGTAATCAAGGTAGACGTCGTGCTAGTGTTCCTCCACCGGCGAGAGAATACGGCCGAAGGTATTCACAACCTGCTGACGGTCAAATTGGGCATCATTCAAATGGATATCGTGGTGGTCGAAGGGGTGGACGAGGTATTTGAGATTAATTAGTAACTCCGTTGTTTGTCTAATGTGTGATTTGACATATATTATGTAATTGAGTTTAGGCCGTCCTTATAATGGTACCCGTGGACCTTCTCGCTCTGTAACCGTTCCTTACACATCTGGATATATTCAGCCATATAATAATGTGTACGGCACAAAGATTGGTGTTGTATACGATATTGACATCTTAAAATATTATATACTGCAGCAAATGTATGTTAAGATGTTTTTTATTTAATATGTCAATTATGATATTATTATCTTAATCTGACAGATTAAATTAATATATACTAACCGTGAAGTTTTGTATAAATTTCAGAGAGTACTATTTTAGCATTGACAACCTTTGCAAGGATATATATCTACGAAATAATGCAAGTAATTTCTCGTAAAATTATTTATATCTGTAAATAAATACTTATCGAGTTTACTTTCTATTTGTAGATGGACGCCGAAGGTTATGTTCCCATTGCTTTGTTAGCTGGGTTTAACCGAGTAAAGGCTCTTACAATGGACTTTGATCTTATCCGTGAGGTATTGAATCAAATAATATAATTTTTATCGAAAGGTTTATGTAATCACCAAGACTTTCAATTATATGCAATAGGCTCTTCTTAATAGTTACATTGTTGAAGTTAAGGATGATAAAGTGAGAAAACGCGAAGGATGGGAATCTTGGCTATTGCCAAGACAAGTAAGAAACACACATATATATGCATTTCTGCGATTTTGAACATCCCATTAAGTGTACTAATTTAATGCTTATAGTACGACATGGTTGAACAACAGGAAGGAATGGAGTATTCTAATGGCCAAGCAATAACTGAAGCTGTTAGTTATCCACAATGTGATGTTCATGAAGAAGACGAGAACAAAGAAAACCAAGAAATGCCAACAATTCCAGAAAGTATTTCTGAAAATGGATCGTCAGACGTGTCAAATCCATGGATTTTGCATACAAAAAAACGACGCGCATTGTCTTCATCGACCAAATCTTCTCGCGAGGTTCAGAGACAAATTTCATCGCCAGCAGCCGACGAGGAACTCTTTCAATTCGACGAAGATTGGACTGGGGATTCAAGAAATAATACAGTACAAAAATATTATGCTACGTCTGATGAGGAAGACGATGATGATGAGTTTGACGATGATACGGTTGCAAGTATTTTAATAGTTACACAGAAGAAAAGAGATAAAAGTCACGTTCACTTTGAGAGAAAGGCAATGAATGGTACATTTCAATTCCATGTAAAAGATGCATCTTATAATTTTTAGGTATTCATGATAGATCGTGTTTAAAATTTATAGACGAAATTGCTGAAATCATTAACGAGGGACTTTATCATTATGAACATGACATTCACAGACAAAAGTTGGTGGATCATATATTTATATATATTTGTTTCCGATTAATTGGTTTTTTTCTTATAATATTTGCCTTTAAACTTAGAAATGCTGACAGTGTTAATAGCACGCGGAAAGTTGACATTGTTAGGTAAATGCTAATTTATATTAATTTTAAAAAAATTTTTTTTTTTTTGATTTTTAAAAAAAAAATTTTTTTCATTATTTTAGTGAAGAAAAATTCGCATCAATAGTTTCCTCGACAAAGTCACGAGATGGAAACGCATCAAATAAAAATTCTGTGTCAGAAAATGAGATAAAAGGGTACTTTTATTTGATCGTGATTATCAAGTACCTAATGCTGTTTCTATATTAATTATTTACTTTTATAATAGAAGAAAAAAGTCAACGCGTTTCTGGCATGTTAAAGGGGTACCGCAAGGACATCACAGCCCTAACTCCAAAGTCAACCATAAAAACGCTCCGGATACCCGTCAATATTTCGCACAAGAGGCAGTTGGATGGGTGCTCGGGTAGGTTTATATGACAATTTGATTTTTTTTTTTTTTTTTTTTTTTTTTTTTTTTTTATCGATAGGTCCTGAGGTAAGGTTATTCTTTTTCCTAGCGATCAACCTTATCATCCTTCGGAAGGTACGTCACAAGCAGGTCTACAATATTCACCACCAAATCATAGTGGTGGCTCAAACAGTTTTCCGGAGCAACTATCTTCATCTGCTGATCAGGCGCGATCATTTCCTGCATTTCAACATCCGAGTCATGATCTTTTACGTGAGAATGGATTCATTCAACATAAATACTACAAATATCATGCCAAAGCTTTGAAAGGTTGGTGTGTGTTTCTACATAACTTATGGTTTTCAGAATATTGGGGCTAATATCTACATTATTTCCATCACCTTAGAACGCAAACGTCTAGGTATTGGCCATTCTCAGGAGATGAATACCCTCTTCAGATTCTGGTCCCACTTTTTGCGTGAGCATTTTAATAAACGCATGTATTCCGAATTTAAGAAGCTTGCGGTTGAGGATGCCAACGCAAATTATCGTTACGGACTTGAATGCTTATTCCGATTTTATTCTTATGGTCTTGAGAAAAGATATCGTCAAAACTTATTCGACGATTTTCAAGAATTGACTTTGACTGACTATGAAAAGGGGTATCTTTATGGGCTTGAGAAATTCTGGGCCTATCTATATTATAGAAAAGACAAAGATAAGAGAAAAATTGAAGTTTGTGAAAAGCTAAAGCAACATGTTGAGAAATATAAGGTAAACATCAATGTACATTTAATTCTCTATTACATCAACATCTATTCATTTCCTAATATTTTATTATAGAACATTGAAGACTTTAGACTTGCTCACAAATCTTTGCACCCCCATTCATCAAATCTTCATTACACAACATCTAACAATAATGCATCATCTACATCATCTGTGGTTTCTCATCCTGCTGTTTCTGTCGAGAATTTCCCTCCCTTGACAGTGACAGCACCACGATAAATTTATTCATAACGCAATATGGAAATTTGTTCTTTACTTGAATTAATAGTTTCGATGTTACAAGTATGTTGTATTATATATTATTACAAGACAAGACAGTTTGGGAGTTTAGTTATTGGGTCATACAAAGTACTTGTCCTGCTAAAGAAGGTTAGGCGCTCGTTCATTTGCATTTTTGTTTATTATTTTTTTTTTATGCAACTTAAGTATTGAGTTTATTACCAATTTACGGTATTGTATTTAGTTTCAGAATAATTTTCTATCTTTTATTTAGAATCTCTCTTTTTTTTTTTTTTTTTTTTTTTTTTTTTTTTTTTTTTTTTTTTTTTTT